GTGAGCCCCGCGGAGGCTGCGGCCTCTCCCCGCTCCGCCGGGAGCCACGACCGAACCCCCCCGGCCCGGGAAAAGCCGGGGGCAGCGCAAGGAAAGGCGAAGCGCAGGCCCGAGCTCCTGGGGAGTGAAGGAAGTTTCTTTTTTCTCCCTAAAACTCCGCTCTCAAAACTTTCCCTAGAAGCTAACGGGCACTGGTTTTAGATCCTGCTACTAAGTCATTCCCCTGCAAGAAAGGTGACTGCAAAATTGCGTTTATTTCTCTCGTGCTTTCAAGCTTTTCATCTTCAAATTATTTGTGAAAGACAATAACATACCAGTCCTCCACCCCCCCACCTTTTCATCGCCCTCTTTTGTTCTCTTTTCAGCCACCCTGAGACAGCTGCAGGCTTTCAGGGAGGCATTAGTCTGGCCCAGCCGATTCTGGTCAAATTACAGCCCAGGTAATTGCATTTGGCCCCCTCGGCTTCGCTGCTGCTCCCAGCAGGCTATTTCCCAGCCACGTTCCTTCGCAGCTCAGCCCAGAGCCAGGCCACGGCCAGGGCAGGGCACAGAGGTGGTTCCCACACAGCTCCTGCCATACCTCACAGGATTTGTTACCTGTAGCAGCCAACCCTTGGAAAAGCTTATAGTTATCAAGATGAAAAGTGGGATTGCAGCGCGACAGGTTCTGCATGACCCGTATCAACCCAGCTGGACGGACGAGAAGAAACTTGCAGGGATTTGAATGATGGATTTTGAGATGCTCCATCTCCAAACCTGGTTAGCAGCGCCCCAGGGCTGTCGGCTCCAGCACACCGGGTTTGGGATGAGGAGCACACCCTGAGGAGGGATTTCACAGCCCAGAGCGCCCACTGCCCGAGACAGCCCCATGCTGGGGCGGGGGGAGGGAACAGCAAGGGAAGGAGATCATCTGGGGAAGGAGTTAAAACCACGAGCTCCTGTCAGTGACCTGTTGGGGTGTCTGGCAGCCCCAAGTGACAGCACAGCAGCTGTTATAAATACCTACCTTCACAGAGGTCTTCTACAGATGATTTTCTTTAAATCTGTGTTGGACCAACATTTTCATAATAAGAAAAACAGCTTCTTGGTTCTTTTATACGTGGCAAGCAAAATACTTTCCCAGCCCAATCCCTGGAGTCGATGGTTCCACTGATACTCAGTAAGGCGGATCTCTTTCAATGGCAATAACAGACGATGAGAAGATAGCCTACTTTTTACATATCTAGCCCATATGTATTCCCAGTTAGGAGCCTTGATCACAACAAAATACCAGAGCACCAGATTCCTTGGAGAGATTATCTGTAACAGGTACTTTATATATTCAAACTCAGAATTTGTTTCAACTTGTCTGGGTAAAACCAGAGATAATAGCACACCTCATTATGCTTCTGTAAAACTTAAAACTTGGCACTTTGCAAAGTGCTTTAGAATGCATTTAGCAATAGACTAATTAGTGGTTTTTTTTCTAGCTGTCTTTACAAGCTGAACAGGTAATATCTGTATGATATAAAGTTTAAAGCACACAAAAACCCCAAAACCAAAATGTGCAAAAAATATGTAAAGTCTTTTTTACTCTGCAACTTTTTCACTCACTTCTGTGTCTAGCAATCTCGTTAGCTCAACCTATTTCAATGCAAACTAAACCCACCACTAATGCCCTAGATCCTGTAGGACACCAATCTCACTGGGTCCCATCAAACTGAGCATCTTGTAGCTTTTAGATATAATAGAAACATCATATATGTGTTACAGTGGGCAATGATTTTTAAAGCCTAGAGGTATTCAATAATGATCACACAGTCTATAAATCTCTATTATCTGCTTCAACTTTCTTTTCTAAAAGTCTCTGAATTTTTACTACTACTACTACCAAGTATAGTTTTCTAAGGCCTTTGGCTCAGTAGAAATGTTCTTTGCCCTTTTAAATCCAAATGCATGATTGCAGGAAAGCAAATACCATATTTTACTTCGTCATTTGAAGAACTTGCATGCAGTTCTGGGATTCCTGAAAAAGCTTCACACTCCAAGTTGGGAAAATAAGAGTTAAAATTACTTTTGTTAGTTGTCTGAAACTGATAAAGTGCACTTCTCCGTATCATTTTTAACACTGAACTGCAAATTGCCCGTGCAGCAGTGCAGGGGATAAGTACATTCACGGCATGTTACAGCTTTTATAGGACCCAGCATCCGGCCATTGCACCGGCCAAGCCATACCCTCACACCCCTGTGCCCGGGCCTGGAGCTGTGACACCAGGATGTTGATCCCTGCAGGCAAAGCTGCTGCAGGGTAACTGCCACCGTATGCTTCAGTGACCGTGTAGGACTGGTATCTTCTTACCTTCTAAAGTTATTCAGTCACTGCATTGACGGATATTCTCCTTACTACAACAAAGGCATTCTTGCTGTTACTACAGTCCCTCTACAGATGGAAATTTTTCAAAAGTTTGTCAGAGCACAGTGCTTTGCTTTCCTTAGGTTTGCAGGCCTCATTTGCCAAAGCTCCTTGCAAATACAACTGCTTCCACTTCAAAAAATGACATCAGAAATAGGAGAGGCCTGAAAAGAGGGATTATACAAAAGCATGTCTTCCATCCTTAGCAGCTCCCAGTTCAACAAGGGGAAAGCCAAGGCCACCCCACCTTGAGTCTGAGGGATTGAGCCAAGTACTGCACACATTTGCCAGGGCTGGTTGTGCCAGCGCACACTGGACAGAGGAAGGAAAGCAGAGAAAGGGCAAATGAGAGGAAACTGTAACAATATTAAGAAACAACAGTGACTCTCCCTTCCCCTTGGGTGTCCATCTTACAAATTCTCCAAGGTAAAGCAGGAACACAGACCTGTCACCTGTATCTCTGGCTATTTTGGTTGGAACCTCTTTGGAGCTAGGAAGAGGAAGCCCTGTGATGCAACTCCCCAAGTTGCTCTGAGCTTCTGTGGGTGTGTAAGGGGCTCTTGCTGTTTGGGATGTTTTGCTTTCTCCATCGTATTTCCAGCCCATGCTCTGCAACTTGCCACATTCCCTTGATGGCGAGAGACACAGAACTGGCAGCAACTCCTATCCCCTTTTCCTTTTAACCCATTGGACATAAACTCCAGATGGTGGGTGGATGCTTTCTTCTCTTTCCCTTTCAGATATTCGGTTTCATTCTTGGTAGCCTAGTCACTTGGGTGCAAATGAGATTAGCTGCTTTTCATTGCTGAGTCCTGGATGTCAAACAGGCATTTATGTACCTTTCTCATTATATTTAGCTAGTGTATCTACTTTACATCATTACCTTCAAACAACTTTGCAACCTCATCAGAAACCTTGAAAATTAGGATTCAGGAATTATTTTGGCTCTGCTGTTGTGTCCACAACTTTGCAAATCAGGATTGTAAATTAAAAGTTATAACCTAAAGTCTTCTCTCTCCCTTCTCCCAGAGAAAAGCTAGAATTTATCATCACAGTACTATAATTTAGAACACTTGGCATGTAAAAAAAGCCAGGCCGTGCTTACCCCAAGAGCTGCATTTTATTACAGTTTGTACACTTACATATTGGAGCTTAACACTTCATCAGTAGAGATTCCTCTCCCTGGTAATACAAAATAATGGAATCAATTCCTATCTGAAGGCCAAGCTGAGTATGGAGGGGTTTCTTTATTTAAAAAAAAACAGTTTTGTACTTTGTTTTTTTAAAGAAACCTGTGAACAAGTCACCTTGGAGTCAGAAATCCCTGCATCTTGTACATTTATCCTGGCAAAGTCACTTCTTAGGTAAAACCCTATTTCCCACTGATAAAGCAATGCCTTGCTGCCCCCATGTGAAGTTAGTGGGAAGAGTAGCATTATTAAAACACCATTGCTACGGGGTTTGTATGAACTGTTGTAATCAAGAGCACAGTCCTTACTGACAAGTTATACTAACATAATTCCCCAGATGAGGATAGTTACCAAAATTTATGAGCTTAACTGAGTAAAGTTCCCTTCTCTTCCTGTCCTGGTTATTAGCTACCTTTTACACTAGTGTAGCTATACTTGTGGTAAATACTATTTAAACACCATCAGTATATTTAGAGGTCCAAACTGCTACTCTGATTGTGGTATTACTTGCATAAGCCAGACTGGTTTTTATTTCTGCTTAGGGAATGTATTTAATATCTACATTTTAAAATACACATGTATTCATAGCAGAAAGGCTTTCTTTTATTGGCTCTCATTTCCTGGAAAATAATTAGAACAAGGTGACCCAAGAAAAAAAAGAATCTAACAGAAAGAGTCAAAGGGCTGTAAAAATAACCTCAAATGAAATGATATGAAGTTCACACGCTCCTCAAGGGCTGGGCTGTGAATCTGCCGTGACTGCACCGGCACCAAGCACATCAGTACGCCAAGCTCAGCTGCTGCTATCAGCACTCTGTCTCAGCATACGCAGCAGTGACAGTGACAGCAGGCATCAGCGCTGGCACCACATTATCACAGCCAATGCAGACACCTCCAGTATCACACGTCTGACTCCAAAATGCACCACTGTCTCGATAAATGGGTTAAGGGATGCAGGCTGAAGGGAGGTGACTGGGTAACCGTATCTGTAAGCACTGGAGGATATCTCCCTCCAAATTCACAAGGGCAAGATTGCAACAAGTTGAGGAGGAGGCTGTTTCTCAGAAAACATCCCCCAGTTTCAACACCAAGCCCCGTTGGACCGGGGCTTTAGGGAGTTTGTTAACATTGTCCGACTACTCAGCCGTGATCAATACAACTGTCATGCTCTTCTCCCAGGAGTCTTATTACATTGATTTTTGGAGCTCCCATTTACTGCAGACACAACAGATTGCTGTTACAATATGTAACAGCCTGGACACAAAGCTGATGTGCACCTCTTCAAACTGAAAGGGGTGCCGCTTCCTAATTGAATTATTATTTCTGCCCTAACCAACCAGTCCAGCCACTAGCAAAAAGGAAAGAATTTCAGCTTTCTTCCCCCTCCTCAGACAAAAAGAAAGAATTACTTCTTGTGGACTAAATCCATCTTCCCACAGCCTGCCCTCCCAGTGTGGCTGGCCAATTTGACAAGGCATCATTATTATAAAGTTGTTTCAATTAAAGAAACACCAAAGTACAGGAATTTTCCACATTCACGCTCCAGTTTATGCCATGCAGAGAGTAAGGCTAGAGCATTTCATCAAATGCAAGAACCACCAAGGATAATTTCAAAAGAAAAATTTACTGTTGCTCACCTCTTAGTGCCATAGTGCAAGACAAGGATTTAGGCACCATACAGTGAAAGCAGCACCACTATGTAGCTGTAGCCCAGGTTGCTAGCTGTACAGCAAGATTAACGAGCTCCAGACAAGCTCTTGGTACAGTTCAACAGGACTCACTACAGCTTCACTGCAGTGTTGGATTTTACATAGGGTTTATTAGTGCAGATGAGCAAGCAGCAGCAACTTGGTGCAGAAAATTAACAATATTTATGAGAAGATTTTCTAGATCAGAACATTTCTTATACTGTTTCCAACAGTAATAAAGAACTTCCCCCCCCTCATTCTCAGGGCTAACTTTAAATGATACATCCACCAGTCTGTGTACAAACACTGTAATGGTGTTTGGTTTTTAACATTGCTATTTCTGTCATTGCTGGAAGGAATGCTATCACTGTCCATCAGCCTGAGACCGCAATCTTACCCAAGT